GAGAATGGTAAAGTCAAGGCTTCATGGCTACTTCCTGCTCATTCTCTAGTAAAACATCTAATAATATAGAACATGTCTTCACAAGAGAAGTTTTAATAGCTGATGAATACTTTAATAAGCACTTAATGTCCTTATCTCTAATCAACCATTTATTAAATGTGTGATTACCGCTTATAAATACTCTGTATGGGGTAAAATGTTAACACAAATGACCTCTGTGGCAATTAGATGAAGAAGCCCCCCTGTCTTTTGAACAAAACACATTGCATTAACATTGCTATTTCCTTTTAATGTCCCACATTTTTTTCTGTTCACACAGGAAGAGCAGAACATCAAACCCCAGTATTTCACATTCCGGTGGCTGACCTTATTGTTATCTCAGGAATTCCTTCTGCCAGATGTCATCCGCATCTGGGACACCTTGTTTTCTGACGAGGACCGATTTCACTTCCTCATCCTGGTCTGCTGCGCCATGCTCATGTGAGCTTTTCAGATTGTGCCCATAGAGCATCGATGCCTCTGGCTTTTCATGTGAATTGTGGTTTTTATTGATTTCTTCTGTTTCCAGACTCATCAGAGATAACTTACTGGTAGGAGACTTCACAGTGAATATGAGATTACTGCAGGTAAGGTTTTTGTAAACACATGACCAAAAAAGCTTCAGTCACACAGCTGAGATAAACTGGTTTACACAGAGTGTTTTATTTATTTTTTCCTCTCCTCGTGATCCTGTAAGGATTACCCCATCTCAGATGTCCACACCATCTTGACCAAGGCCAAAGAGCTGCAGGGTAACTCCTAACCTGTTCACTCAAGTCCCCCTGCCATCTCTGCTCAGATGTGATAGGTGGGAGCTCAGACATTAGAAACATTGTCATGTCAAACATGTTGTGTGAGAGGACCTGATCACTGAAGAGCCTGGATAGGTGTGTTGGGAAACTAGCATACTGCTTTTTAACTCGGTGTCTGAGGTTTAGTCAGTGGAGACTGTGTGAAAACCCGGAGGACATGTTGAAACTGTTCCTTCCTCAGAGTGAGGAGGAGGTGCCACCTGTGTCTTGATGCATTATAGGAAAAGGCAACCTCGGTTATGTGGTCCTTCTCTTCCTCTCACAGCAATCTCGCCAATGGAAATTTGCTGTGAACAGATGATGATATTTGCACTGACCACGTGAGGGAGAGGCAGCCGCATTAAACCTACACTACCAATGTTAGTCATGCAAACATTCTAGAAATATTGGAAATTGAAGCCAAGAATTATAACAAAAATGGATTGAGCAGATGTTTAATTGGGTTGAGTAGTAGTGCAGGTTTGTTCTTTAAGGGATTTTTTTTCAAGTTGAGTGCTTTTAATTCTGAATTGTGTATGCCTTATTTGTTTAATGATGTGAAACCAGAATCAGTATTTCTGGTTATATTTTCTGTCTGATAACATTTTTGAAGTGATGGGATGGGACGGGCCTATTGAATATTGTATTAACAACCTCCTGAAAATAATTTCCTGAGCATTATGTGTCCACAACACCTTTTGTCCCATTGGAAATATAGGTTTCCTGATAAAGTCATGTTTCTCTGGCAAAATGCTAAAAGGCCAGAACCAAGACAGGACCTTATTTTGCTTTTCACACTGAGCATTATTTGCGGAGCTTTTTCTTCAGCCTGGGTTTATATGTATCTGTATACAATACTTTATGTATACCATGGTCATGGTGAATCATTCTGCTTCACAGTTCATACTCTTTATTGCAAGGCTGCTGGTTTCTTTTGTTACAGGCCTGCAGTAATTAGGTTTGGTGTTGTTTGAAATTGACTGATATTAGTGTGATACGATATCATTTGTGGTTGTTCAGCAGTTGCATGTTTGTTTGTTTTTTTTTTGCAGTAACACAAGAAGCTAAAGCAGGGTAAAAGAACTGGCACTGCTATCTTTCCATATCCTGTGCAAACTTGATGTTAAGTGAAAAAAAACCCTTTCTTGCTTCTGCAGCAGAAGTCTAAGAACGGAGTGACAAGCAGGTTGCTGTAGTCTGACTCAGTACCAGAGTAAAGCTGTTGTAAACCTGTTTTACATTGAGAACAGGCCTGCAATTAAAATGTTTAAGGAAATTAAATCATTAACACTGGGTTACTAGCTAAACTAGCCCAGAGTTAATGGCAGTGATTACCTTTGTTTAAGGCTGATAATGTACAGTGTGAAACACCAGCACAGCTTAACAGTGTTTTATTATTTTATCACGTATAATGCACATAACATATGATATATGTGGCAAACCTGTCATGACTTGATTATGTTTAGTTTCTAATTTGAATGTAAATTTGCTAACTTAAATGTACCACTGCTATAATATTCGGAAACTAGTTTGTTACATGTTAACAAGGTTAAAGGATAAGGCCAGTCATTTTCTATATTAACAGTATTTTCAACACTCTCCATGCAGAGACCAAAACCAACAAAGATTCGCCTCAACTCACTATTAACACCTGTCAGTCCTGGATTATTTTATTCATCTGTACCAGAGGCCTCTGTTGTTGGTCAAAAACAATTAAAAATGCATCAGGGAGACACACTGCTGCACTGGGTGATATGTTTCTTCATTATGAAACACCAGGCCCTGATATTTGTTAAGAACTCCAAGAGATCTCATACATGGGCCCTTGACTCTTGCTTACTTCATATTCTATAAAAAGTTAAGGCCATTCAGAGCCTTCGGGGAAGCATTTTTAAAAATATTTTGCTGTTATTGAACAGTAATGGAGATCTATGGCACAGATAAATAAGCAAATCCATAACTGAGAGACTGACGGATATTAATTGTGGGGAGTGTTTGAAATACTCTATATAGAGAAAATGACTGACCTTATCCTTTAATCAGAAATGGAAAAGATATAATCTCAGAAAGCTGTGTACAGCTGAAAATATGTTTGATACCTTGTTTTTTTTTTTGTATACACTCACCACCCACTTTATTAGGTACACCTGTACAATTGTATGCACTTCAATATAACACTTCCACCTTAACACTGGTTTTTATGAAGCTGAAAATGTTTTGGTTTTTGGTGAAATTGCCATAAATGTATACATTTAATTATATTTTTAATATTGAGGTCAATAGTTAAAGGTGGTGTTGTACTGGACTACGTTATATTCAGAGGTGTTCCTAATACTCTGACTCTCTCATGTATGTAGCTGGAGAGGACAAAAATATAGAGACGCCTCTAAATATAATGTAGGTTAATACAACACAACTATGACCACAATAATAAACATATAATTGAATTTATTGATGACAATTTCACCCAAAACTGAAACATTTTGAGCTTCATAGACACAGATGTTAAGGCCAAAGTGTTGCACTGAAGTGCACACAATTATACAGATATACCAAATAAAGTGGCTGGTGAGTGTAATTTAATGCGTACCCATATGAAGGCATTCTAGGTCAATAGTGCATGCAGTTAAAAAACTTCCCTCACATTAATCTGAGCAAGGATGAAACGAGAGTTCTTACTGAAGAGCTCATTGTAATTCACTCGTCACTCATGTTGTACAAAGTGCAGGATTTCCAAATATGACCCTTCATATTTATGCCTAGAATGGTAAGAACCCATGTCCAAGGCAACTGAAGTATTTATGTAATGTATAATTTTTTAGAAGTAGAATTTTATGAACACTCCTTAGAAATTAGGTGGAGCCTTAAGAGCTCATCATTTTCCCTTTCTGTTTTTTTCTGTTGTAGAAGATGAAACCAGATCTTACTTGACCATCCTAGTAAAAACACACTATTGAAATGTAATCTTTAATATTATTAAGGGGTTGGGTGTATGGAAGCTCTGCTTTCAGTATGTAAGAATACAATGCTTTTAAAATGTGTCGATAAGCTGCTCAAAGAGCACATTTATTTGTGAGGGGTTTGTGTCAGAAGAGCTCTTTGATTTAGAACTGAGAACAATAAACTAAGTTAAAAACTACTCAGCAACTCTTAACAAATGAGAATTGTCATTATCTGTCATTGTCTCGCTTGACAAATACAGAATAGAAAAAAAATCGGTTTATTTTTTAATCTAAAACTAGTAAATTTTATTGTAGTTGGTCATTTTAGCAAAACCTTGTTTTAGTGTCTGCTTATATTTAAAATATATACATTAGCAGTTAAAGGGTTGAATACACCTTTTCATTGGTAATTTAATTAGCAAAATCTAAACTTAATGAAAACCATGAACAAAAGTCTAACACCAGGAAAGTACAGTATATAAAGTATTTAACAGTCTGCCAGAAGATCAAATCCAAAAATATTTTGCAACTCAGTTTTGGATACAAGATGTGGAAATACACACGATCTGGGCTAATGCAAATAATAATTTTATTTTAAAAAATAATAATCATATTAGAATTTTTATTTATTTATTTTAATTTAGGAGAAACTGGCAGTTATACCTTTTTGATGACTTTATTGTGGTACATTTTATTGTAAATGGATAAGTTTGCCATTTTTGCCCATCAGGCTACACTTAGTGACAAAGTGAGAAATGTTTGGGTTAATTTTTGCAAATTACTAAAAATTAACCACTAAAATCTGTCATTGACTTAAGTGCTATGACCCTTAATTCAGTACTTTGTCCACACACGCATTCACCATTCACACGTACTGATGAAGGGCAAAACAATCATACAAGACCAGGAGCAACTCGGGGTTCAGCGTCTTTCTAAGGACACTTCAGCATGTGGACCGGAGAAGCTGGGATCGACCAGACAAACCTGTGATTAGGGGACGACCTGCTCAACCTCCTGAGCCACAGCCCCCTGTTTAGATGCTCCGGGGGGTTTAGGTCTGGGCCACTCAGGGATAGTCAGACTTGTCCTGAAGCCACTCCAGTGCTGTCTTGGCTGCATGCTTCAGGTCACTGTTTTGCTGAAGAAATTAGAAATAATAAAAAAATCTACAGTGAATGTTAGTGTGCCAGTTGCATTGGCAGCTGTACCTGTTCAGACCATATCAGAACCAGCTCCATGTTTGTGTGGTCCATGAGGCGGTGTTTTGGGTTGCTTTCCACTCCTCCACAACACTGTGCTCCTCGGTCAGCCAGGTCATTTGACATTTTCTAGTCTTTCTGTGTCCACATGCTTTTTGAAAATGTACCAAACTCCTGATTTTAGCAAACCAACTACCTTTGATATCTCTCTCATTCATATCTGCTTTTGCAGGCTCGTTATTGTCTTCTTCATTTGCGTGGTCACCTCTTTATTCTTCATATTGACAGACAACTCATCCTCAGTTTGAATGAATCAACTCTGAGTCACATTAGCCCCTTTGTGCATGTGCTAATGTTTAACCAACAGCTGCTAAAGAAACATTTATTAGCAAAGTGTCCAATTACTTTAGAAACCCTAGTCTTTGGGCACTGTGTGTTGCTTGGCACTGTAATGCAATATCCATTATTCTATTTTAAATTAAATGCCCTGAAGCACAGGGCCTGAAGAGCAGTACATGGGTCACTATTCACAGGCCATCTGGAGTGCATGAAGAGGACTTGCAAACTACATAGGCTTAGATTTAAATACTTTTTTGCTGTGAGTTAGCAGTGCTTTAAAAATGTTTTCATTGAATGTTTTGAACTCGAGTCAAACCACAGTGTGACAGACCTAAAGTTTAAAATGGGAGGCTTTATAACCTATTTTCTAAAAAAAAAAAAAAAAACAAAAAAACAAATAAGACATTTTGTTTCCTGCTTCATGCAGCATCACCCTTTTTAAGTTTCATTTTGATAGATGAGAGTATCTAATCGCTGATAAATATCCAGAATAACTGTTCAGTATGAAGAGACCAAGAAGGGACAAGCCTTCTAAGAACAAGACAAATTGACACTTTTGACAGACTGTTACTAAATGATGGCATCCTCATGTTCCTCCCTTTAATGTTTGTTTATTCTTTCCCATGCTTGTGAGTGTGTGTGCGCAATGTGTTCGGCAAGGGTCACTATGCTGTTTATGTCTTGTCAGTTATTTGCATGGTTCCAATTTTGTAAGCACTTTTTTGTAATGTCTCCAGTGTTAAGACAGATGCTTTTACATGTTTACAGATGTGCATTAAAGTTAATGGTATAAATAAATGTCTTTCATTGTGAAATGGTGTGATCACGCAATTACTGCAAACCAGCAATAACCTGACAATAAATTCTTTTCTTAGGGATTGAATTGATATTTGGGAAATATTAAAGAATTATACTGTTAAATGCTGTTTTAAATAAAATTCTGTGGCCACACCTTTTGTGCAACTTCTGTTTTTGCTTTCAGTGGTTAAGTGTCTCGCTATGTTGCCACCCCACAGGTGCCTTTGGCTTTCAACCACAGACCATATCAATACTATACAATGGTTTGAACCTGGCTGTTGCAAGTGGTACTCCTACACTTCGAAGACATAGAGGTTAGGCTGCTTTAAGTTGCCTGTGGGTAAAAGTTGTCTGAATCATTGTCTGCCTCTATTTGTCAGTCCCATAATTACCTGGCCAGTCTTGGGGAAAACACTGTAATGTCTACGCGAGTGTATTTTGCTCTCCGGCCACCAGGGGCAGTAACGAGCCCCTTGCGGCTTCTCCTGTGGCACATATAAGGCGAAGAAAAACTAAAAATATTACTTGGAAAAGCGACACAAAGGTGAGATTTATGTTTGCAAAGTTTTTTCAAACAATATTTTTAGGTTTTACAAGAGAAAATTGTTCTAATAGTTGGAGGTTGGTACGTCTGAGGTCGTCGTTAATGCTGACACCTCCGTTAAAGCTCTGTATGGCCGCTTATCTGAGGTCTTTTTGTGACCTAGCGGGGACAGTAATGTTATTTCTGAACACTACAGAAATGATTCAAAAGCACTGTTAGCAACATGAGTAACAGGTGGGTAGTTTTGTTCTGTCTCAAAGCAATACTAAATAAAAGGAGAGAGGAGAACATTCATGTGATTAAAGGAATAATTATCCAAAAAAGAGAAACATATACAGTATAAAGTTAATGTGCATTTTCTATGAAATGATAAAATAGTGCATATGAATGTATGAAGATATCAGGAAGAAGTCAGCCAGTTAGGCTTGCAGTATCATAAGTAGTTTACACATACTGGTTGTTCCAAAGTTCAAGTTAATTTTTCACTTCCTTGGGCTAGTCCACAGCTTGTCAACAGATAGGTACTCTTTAGTGTAGAAAGAACAAAAACATAAACTGGGGCCAAGCCATCTGTAAATGCATATTGGTTACTGTATTTGAAAGACACTGAACAAGAACAGTTCTTTAAATTCTTTTTACTAGAGTGCTAGGTAAGTATTCTGCATGCTCTGCTAGTGTCATTGGTAGAGTAATACACAGAGTGTTTGCTGACTTCGCAGGTACAGTATAATAGCTATAATCAGTTATGAGCTCTAGTAAAGTGAAATTTCAAGTGTTCACTGTTCATTTACTGTTTTGAATTGTGACTCTAAGAGGTCATTACCACAAAGCACAGACCTCATAAATGTTGCGGCATGCTTCAAACTAAATGCTGATCTGACACAGTTTTCTGATAGTTGCATTAGGAAGTTCTACATTTACACATTTTGTAAACCCCTTTCTGCCATGATGTGCCTTGTGTGTTTAATGGAAGATGACAGTACTTTTCCCTTTGACTGCTTGTCATGAATAGTTTTGAGGATTAAATACCCATGGTATCAGTGGTGTGCTATTTTATTCAATGTTTTATTGTGAAAGACTACTGTCTCCATTCATAGGTTTGTCCAATGCAGTATTGCAGTACTCGAGGTGGGGTTCATGGATGGAACTTCCGGGATGTTTTGTTTTCGGGCTACGCTCCAGATGGGGGGATGTTCATGCCAGAGAGTGTGCCTGTGCTGACCCCGGACACCCTAAGGAGCTGGAGGGGGCTGACCTACACCAAACTGGTGGTGGAGGTTGCCTCGCTTTTTATTCCCAGTCAGCAGATCCCCAGACAGGACCTGGAAGGTGAGCTGGAGAAATATTCATCAGTACATATAGAGAAATGTAATATTAATAGATGTCTAAAGGATTATAGTGATGTCTGGCTTCGTTATTGCATGTATTATTGGCATGTTTGTATAAGGAAGACATTCACAGTGAATTGTGACTTAATACCACCTGTTGAGAGGCCTATCACCTGTTTACCACAGTCTTTCACCACGGAGGATTATAAAGTCAGACAGCAGCTGCAGAAACTCAATTTGACAAAAGCCGCAGTGTCGGATTATGTCTCCAACTACTTTCGAACATTTTGTGGATCAGCTGACACACATTATAACCTATATTTTCAATTAGTCACCTAAGTAATCTGGAGTATCTGACTGTTTTAAAATGCCATTGTGGTGTCTATGGCAAAAACATCCAGTTCTTCATGCCTAAATGACTTCATTGTCATTTTTCTACCATGAAAGAAAAATATTAATATTAAACATATATTCAAAAATAGCCTGCACACATGATTAAACTTAGTTGATACAGTATTGTCTTGGCATTGGACATTATCTACAAAAAGCAGAGAAGTGGGTCAAAAAAAGGCAATGAATAAAACAGAACCAATTTAAAAACAGTGAAAGCCTACTTCATTACAACTGATCTGCAAAAACTAAGAAAATGAAAATGAAAATGTTCTCCCATCCTTTTCCCTTTCCCAGTCCTGGTGGGTGAAGCGCTGTCTAGTTTCTCAGTGCCTGAGGTGGTCAGAATCGCTCGGTTGAACAAGGATCTGTCAATACTGGAGCTTTTCCATGGAGAGACTTTGGCCTTTAAGGACCTGGCTATGACCTGCACTGTGCATATTCTTGAGTACTTCGTGCGAAAAGAGAATAGCAGAGCTACCATTCTTGTAGGTAAGAAAGCTATGTTTGATTATGTTGTGATAAAAAAACAGCTGATGTCTCTGGAATGAGATCAAGAATAGAACAGGTCAAAATAAGTTTCTGTCACAGGGTGTCTGGACTCAGCCATCGACATAGGGTTCAGAGTTCAGACATCTGGAGGGAGCTCCAAGTAGAGCCCTGCTCCTTAGTGTCAAAACATGCCAGTTGAGGTGGTTCAGGCATCTGATTAGCATGCTTCCTGGGTGTCTCCGTTGGAGGTTTTCCAGGCAGGTTCAACTGGTAGGAGGCTGTGGGGTAGAGCCAGAATACATAGAAGAAAGGAGGAGCTGGAGAACGTTCCTGGGGAGAGGGACGTCTGGTTTTCCATGCTAAGCCTGCTGCCCACCTGACCCCAGGTAAACAGGTGATAATGGTTAGATGGATCGTTTAGATCTGGCCCCTCTCATGCTCCATTGGCTTTGGTCTGTTCAGCTTTCATATTTATGACAGCAGGTTGTAGTCCAGGTCTTGATGTGACAAGATCAATAAAATACATAATATCAGACATCCTGCCCTCTACCTCCAAATGGGCTGCTGTGGAGGTAAAGTGTTGAAAGCACGCATCTACAACAGGTTAATAAGAGCAATTACTGTATGTTCTACATGCGACTTGGTTAAAATGGTAGGAAGATCAGTCATTGCTTAACCAAAGATTTACTCTATTGCCACATACCTACGTGTATGCAGCTGTTTCCTGGTTTAGGCCAGGGACCTGAATTCCATGTAAGGGAAAAGTTAATGCTAATGTGGGCAAGGCAGGAGACCCTGGAGGGGATCGAAGTACTGATAATCTGATTACCACAATTTGTATGAAAAATTGCACTCTTCTCTGCATCATAACTCAGTAAAACCTGAACACACAGACATGATACACATTCATTTACATTGTCTGACTTGCACTTTCCAAAGACATCCACCCAGTATCTATACCACTTATCCTGAAGAGGGTCACGAGGGGGCTGGAGCCAATCCCAGCTGACATTGGGTGAAAGGCAGGGTACTCCCTGGACAGGTTGTCAGTCCATCACAGGGCTGACATGTAGACAAACAACCACTCATACTCACTCACTCCTACGGGCAATTTAGAGTCACCAGTCAACCTAAGCTGCATGTCTTTGGATTGTGGGAGGAAGCAGGAGTAGCCAGAGAGAACCAACGCAGGTACAGGGAGAACATGCAAACCCCAGGACCCAGGTTGGCCCAGGACCTTCTTGCTGTGAGGTGATCGTACTGACCACTGCTCCACCATGCTGCATTCCAAAGACATAGTTTTCATTTATCCACTTAGGGAAAAAAAGATGCACATCATTTAATTATATAATATAATGAGCAGGTTTCAGTGTCAGCTGCTCCACATTCCCATCTGATCGAAACGGACTGAGAGGTGCTACTAGATCATTTCCTATGCTGAACTCCACTATGTCTTTGGAATATGTGTTATCTGTGTCTGGTGGCTTATTATGTATGGTTTTGTTATTGTGTAATGGTGATCAAACAAGTTTTTCCTTTATGGATAAATAAAGTCTCTACCGATCTTTGTCTAAAACAATTGTAGGCACTCACTAAAAGTTGATGGAGAAAGCTGTTGCCCTTCAGTACAAATTAACCACAGAATCAGGTAGAGACATTTCTATTAAGGTTCATGGATATGCACATTATGAGTTGTCATCTATATTACACATACAGTATAAATGGAAATAGCAAAACAGTTTGAGTTTGATAATACAAAATATATTGAAACCTCAAACATCTGAAAAGTAGCATTTTAGCCAGAATATGTTAATAAATGAGGCTGAGGCCTTTGACACTGACAGCCAGCACTGTAATGGCATTTACTAGAACATTCTTGCTCCCAAGAAGAAGAATCTTTGGTGAAGATATGTCCTGAAGATAATAAATGCAATGAATCAGCATCAGTCTGTTTGTGGCTTAACTCTCCAGGTACATCAGGAGACACAGGTGGATCAGCCATCCAAAGTGTTAAAGGTTTGTCTGGGTTGGATGTGGTGGTTGTTTACCCCCGAGATCGCGTCACTCCAGTCCAGGAGAAACACATGATCACTTGTCTTGAGGATAATGTTCATGTGTTTGCAGGTAAACCTAAAGAGACCAAATGACTAGTGGTGTTTTTTGAACCAAATAGCCACAATTGTATTCTAACACTTTTTTTCAATACTGTGTGATTTAAACCGCCGTGCCTCTGTAGCGGATGGCACATCAGATGACATAGACCAGCGTTTGCGGCGTATTTTTGCTGATCAGGAGCTGGTCAAATCTCATGGTCTCATGAGCCTCAACTCAGTCAACTGGTCTAGAGTCATGATCCAGCTTGCCCACTTCATCTATGCTTACCTGGAGCTCAGTGGTCTGGAGCTGGGTGAGGCTGATGCTGCCCTACCTGAGCTGGAGGTGGTGGTGCCCACTGGAGGGGCAGGAAACATTGCAGGTAGACTGATTACTGCTGCAGGTAGACTGATTACTGCTGTAAGAACATTTGTTCTGACAATGAAATCACACATTATGCCTGCTGAATCTGTGATTTTCAGTAGTGCTCAAATTAATGACCTGCATTGACAAATGGTCAGGAAACCTGAGAGTAATTCTGATGGCAATAATATGAACCAGAAAAGCCAGAACATTTTTACATTTGAGAAGTAACTTCTCTTCTGGTTATGTTACTCACTAAATGACTTAATGAATTAAAGCTCAGCTGATCCTGGAGTTTAAGACCAAAACTAATATCAATATTAGATACAGAAGTAAACAAAAGCAGCTTCTAATTTCTAGCTGACTGTTGATTCTGTCTGCTGAAATGCCAGCTGTTGCTAGCAGAGTTTTGACAGTTGTACATTGACAGTTAAGTTACTTAATGCTAACTCTGTGAGTTGGTTTCCAGCAAACTCATTTTAAATTAACAGCCCTGTAAAAGGGTTTTAAATATGCACAGGTTAGCTGCATACATGATATAATACTGAGGCTAAAGCTGCATGCTATTGGGAAACAGTCAACATAGCAACGTGGACTGGACAATACCCAGCTGTGTTGTTGTACAGCACTGCAGAGCTAGTTAAAGCTAAAAATTAACATGCGATGAAGTTGTTTTAGGCTAGGCACACTAACATTTGCTGCTTATTTACACTAGTGCAAACAAACATACCATTTAATACACTTCAGCAGAGTTTTGACAGTTGTACATTGACAGTTAAGTTACTTAATGCTAACTCTGTGAGTTGGTTTCCAGCAAACTCATTTTAAATTAACAGCCCTGTAAAAGGGTTTTAAATATGCACAGGTTAGCTGCATACATGATATAATACTGAGGCTAAAGCTGCATGCTATTGGGAAACAGTCAACATAGCAACGTGGACTGGACAATACCCAGCTGTGTTGTTGTACAGCACTGCAGAGCTAGTTAAACCTAAAAACACTTATTTTTGCTCTTGCTCTATGGCACTTACTACAGCTCCATGCTTACTTAAGTGCATGGAGAAATCCAAAGTATGACAGACTGGCTTGGCTGCTAATGTGATACAAACGTTGGCTTCTGCTGTAGACGTCCATGTACTACCATTTCACAGCCTACTGTTACTACTTTTATTTCTGTTTATATTTTTAGAGATGTCACTTTAAATGGTTCTTTCACATACCTGGTTTGAAGTAAAAAGTGACCTATTGCAAAAACACATCTATTTATTTCTGTTTCACTTAATATCTGCATTAACTCCAGATTTCCATATATAATTTGTCTGTGATCACATCACGTGTTCTCAGATTTTAAGGTGTCTGCTGTCCAGAGTGGACGTTTAAACTAATACAACTGAAAAGTATAGCCTCTGTGGCATTTGATTAAAAAGACCTGACTTATTTTGTAAGGTGACAGTGAGTTTCTTGAAAGACTCCCTATAAATAAAATGTATTATTATTATAAAACCTAGAGGCTCAGCATATTGTATATGATGCCAACAATGGCACATACATACATACAAATGATTTTGCAATCCTATTAAAAAGAAAACTGTTACTAAATGATTCAGCAGACTACAGCCTGCTGAATCATTACATAGGTAATACAGGTGCACGCATGTTTATATCTGTATAGACACATGCATATGTACCGAAGCACCAAGACAACTGTTTACAACCTTCCCTAGTATCACAAGTAATGGTGTTAAAATATAAAGTTTGTTTCAAGGGTCTTTAAAATCAGAAATGGTCAACCTCTGAGATGATGGAACACATTCATTTCATATCAATCTGTCTATTAAACTGTGAGATATCCTGTATGAAAAGTTGTCATGTAGACCTGTGGGTGGTGGTTGAGTAAATTACATAGAATCCAACCTTTTCAGCACTTTAGAGTTTGATATTTCCTGAAGTATTTTAACTGTTTTTGGTCTAATGGTGCCACTAAAGGACAGGGTTACAAGAAACATCAGGATTTGTCCTCTAGTGTTTATAATACGTTTCATGGTAATCTGGTTGGGGTTGTTTGAGATATCTTGTTCTGGACCAAATTGTTGGACAGAATGAGAGACCAGTGCACCCACATAGGCAGGGTGTAAAGCTTTTTGGCCACTGTGTATGTGTGTAAGGCCATTACAAGTTAAAAGTTGCATTACTCAGGATGCTGTGTCACTCTGACTTGTGGGTTTGTAGGACCCATACAACTTGGAGCGAGTGTTCTGGCTGCTGCTGGACAGAGACGGAACCTCAGTGAAGAATATGATGGAGGAGTTTCAACAATTACATAGACACACACTGCCTGAAAACCAGCGCAAACTGGTAATCTTACCAACATTTACTGCACCTACTGTATACATCCATGTGTGCTTATTCTCTGTGTCTACTAAGACCTTACCTTTTTTGTTTTCTAGTAGGACTTCCCCATCTACAATCCAAATATTTGTGTGTTCTTTCCTTGTGTTCTACTTCTAGTTGTCACAGGTGATATCAACTGGAACAGTGACTGATGAAGGGATCCTGGAAACCATGAGGAGATGCTGGGAGGAAAACCATTATATGCTGTGTCCTCACACAGCTGTGGCTGTTTGGCATCACTACCATTGTCCTCACAGCCCTGGTCTCAACAGGTCAGATATACTGGATTCATCTATTTAGTCACATACACAAAACACTTATGATTTCAGTGTAACAATTTTGTATAATAATCTAAATTGGAACCCAACTGCAGACCGACTAAGTGGGGTGTAGCAAGCTTTAGTAAAGACCTACCCTGGTGAGCAAATAGTATCCTTCTTCAGGCAAAACCAAAAGTACTGAACAGGTGAGGTGGGAATAAGTCACACATGTGCAAGTCAAAACCTAGTCTTAACCTTCAAGTCTAAAACAAGTCCCAAGTTACTGTGGTGAGAATCAAGTGAGTCCCTACTATAAGTCAAGTCATACAAAATTCTCATGATGTGACAATGTTATGGGAATATCACGTATTTAAGTGAACCGTACACAAACCTCCTCTGATTATTAATTGTTCATTCATATGGTATAAACTAACCAATTAGCTATTAAATAAAAGGGCATGCCAATCATGGCTAACAGAAATGCTTCTCAATAAAATGCATAACTGATTCAAAATCACAACTAACAGCTTAACCTTAATGCAGGGCTCCAGACTATCATTTCATACTGGTGGCACCACCTCTGCCTTACAACGTAGTGCAAAAGAATCTGTATTTTTCACAATTATTTTAAATTACCTTACCATCCAATGTGCGTAGCCTACATTTATAATTTAGCACCCTGATCTGTTTCCTGCTTGAAAGTGTACAGGACAAATTTCTTAGAAGATGACATTATAGCTATACCATACGTATGTAAACTCTACATTGTGTGAGCTGTCTGCTAGCTGTCTTACCAAAACCATGACAAAATAATTGTAAACCATGTAATATCTAACCAACAAGCACTAGCTTAACTTGTAAGTACTTTACAAGTTTATTAATGTTCTTTTTGTCCACAGCCATTCACAAACATGTTACTTCTCTTGAGAATCTTTTGCTCTTTTGAGGCTTACCCATAAGTCCTTGCTATTACTACTAGATGGCGTAGGTGTCCCATTTAGTGGAGTTTAACCTAAGTGTCTTTTTAGCTACTGTATGTTACATGTATTCAGTTACACTTGCCAGTACAAGTGTTTTTCTTCTTTGTCTATTCAGTGGTTGGAATATGTGGCACAAAAACACAACATCTGCATCCAGCATGCACTGAGATGCAGTGAGAAAAAAAATAACTAAATGCCAGGTATATGGGTACATCGTCACCGATGGAGCCAAGCAAGTGTTTGCTGTTATCATTATCTCACAACTCAGACTTTTGGTGAAATGTTTGCAAAAACCATGGAGAAATAAGACAAACTAGCTAAAGACTATAAATTGTGGTACTGGGAGTTTTGCGTTGTACAGAGGTGGCACAGCTGCAATTAAACTGCACCACACCAGGCTAGGTTAGAGTGTCCAGCCAAGCTAGCAGCCCTGTGAGGCTGTACAGTTTAGGCAGATTACCTAAACCACTTTATTTGGAGGTTAAACTGAGAGTGACCACAAATGAAATGTCATTAATAACCCCTTCTTGTACAGGAAAACTACTTTATGTTTTGCCACTCTAAGCTGAAGCAAGAAGTGGGTCTGTGAACTTTGAGGAATGTTTACCACTATGTTGTACCTCATCACTTACTGTATGTCATTTCATTGCATTGTTAAACAGTAATCTGTCTCCTGAGGAAAAGACGGAAAACTCTAACTGAAAAGATATGTTAGTATCAGTACATTGACTATCTTCATTTCTGGTGCTGGCACTTTTGTAAATTCGTGTTAAAACGTATCAAGTGGGCAGAGACTTCTGAAAAGTGTTGCACTTCCATCTTTTTCAGGGTGTGCTAACACCTGACTGACTTGTGGAAAATGGGTACTTACTCGATTTACTATGGTATTATCAGTACATTTTTATTGCAGGTGTTACGTGGCGACAGCATCTCCAGCCAAGTTTCAGGCAGCAGTGCAGAGGGCCGGCCTGACCATTGATCTGCCTGAGGCGGTGCGGTCATTGGACAAATTAGCTACTCGTTACCAGAACCTGGAGCGGAGCCTGAATTGGTGCAGAGACTGGGAGGAAAAACTGAGAGAGAAAATCCAGTCTGTAGGCTCATTCAGAAAAGGCCAGGAGACTAACAACATCTGATTACCGCAGATTATGGCAGATGCAGTTATATAGGAAAATATGGTTTTTACATCAGAAATTCTGAAACTGCATATGAGTAAGGTCAGGTGACTCGTATATGAACTTACGTAGCTATAGAAACTCATGATCCAGGGCGGGATTTTAATCCTCACAGGCCCTGGGGCACTTAACTTTTGGAGGCCCCCCACCCAACCTGCCTAGTAAGACTTTTCGGACCTAAAATTCAGATTATTGGATTGTGGACATTAGGACCCACAGAAACCCTGTCTGGTGTCTGTCCTTTTCCTCATACAATTGTCCAAGATTACACATTAAATATTGTTTTTTCTTTGTGTTTTTCTTTACTTCACAAACAAAAATCAGTTTTGTCTATATTATAAACTAGATATATAGAATAAATAATGTGTGTACATGATTTGCTTGAGTTTTTTGTTTCTTTGTTTTGCTTTTACATCCATTGTGCTGTAAACTAAACCCCAAGTATAAAGCAGTTTTTTTTGTTGTTGTTTGTTTAGAAAGCTGCAGGTAACATACATTCTGCAAGTATTATTTGATTAATCCCAATTGTCTTGTCTCTACTCTGCATTTTGAAAACAGGAAGTAGTCAATGAGTCAATCTTGAGCTAAACTATCTTGTTTTCTTATATTAACTAGCAATCCTACACTGCAATGCTCTGCATTTTATCAGAGGGAAAATCTTTAGTTCTACAGCTGTTAGTGATGATGGAAAATGTTGATGATTAGTAAATAGTAAGTGTCCAAAATCTCAGTTTACTATACTGCATGAACTGTTCAGTGTACATTATATAGGGAGTAGTGAATGAGATAGTGATTTTGGAGTCATGGGCGACATTGAATCCTAATTTACTTCATATTAAATATCTGTGCCTGGTTATGTACTAGCTATCTAAACTAATGTTAGCTTGTTTACCAACTACAGCCAGGTCTTACCACTCTCACCTGAATCTCTCTGAACTTCATTCTGCTCTTCTTCCCTCCTCTAAAGAATTTTCTTATGTCCATCTAAATAAGTTAATGTATGAGTCAAAATAAGATCATTATTATTCACAAACTTAACTTAGTCACTGTCACACACCTCAGCCCAGCTGTGTGTTTGCTGTAGTGCATCAGTTACGATGTGCAAACATGTGCACCATGGTGTATGAACCCTGACCACTGTGCCTGAGCTTGTATTTTGCTTTGACATTAAGGATTAGAACATATCATTTCTTTTCCCCTTATTATCAATCTAAATGAATCCACTGCCAAATATAGGAACTTATTAAAACTCGAACATGGGATTTTACTTGAGCACAGAATAACAATACTGGGGCACATACCCCAGGTTAAGGGGTGTAACGACACCTATGCATGACCATGTGTTAATCACAAGTCCATGTAAATTTGCACAAGTGCAAGGAAGTGATTTGGAGAAAAGTGGACCCAGAGATTTAAAGGACAGTTGCTGCTGGGCTTTCAGAAGGCTAAGGCTGAGGATGTGAATAGCTGATTGATGTTGCCTGCACTTCCAATGAAGACACTATTGATCAAGCTACCAGTAAAACATGAAACCTGATGGTTTTGGTGTCATTCAAGTAATCGGGCAATTTATTCATTTGTTATTTTTATATTGACTTTTCCTCAGTATTTTATAGTATAAATTTGTAAACTAGATTTAGCATGTGCCACTTGTGTGGTAATTGGTTTCTGCTTCAGGGTTACCCCCCTCCAAGTATTTGAACAAACTTTCAGAGTTAGTGATTTTGTGGTGTTTTATTCTAGTACAAATAAGTGTCAGAGATGTGCAAACATACAAATAATTAAACGAAGATCACGAAAATATGTAATAAGTGCAATAGGTTTTATCAGGCGATTATCCATCTCACCATTAACCTTTGATCCCCAAACCGGTAGTGTTTTCCGAGGAGCCGTGAATGTAGCACGAGGTTTGACAGCTAGACAACTAAACATGGCGGCGGCTAGCCAGAGCAACCACTCAACACCTGTGTCCTTTATTATCGTGTCAGCAGCCAGGAAATAACCAGGTCCGTTAAGGATTCTCGGAAACAGACTGTGAGCAGTTGCCCTCTATTTTCCGCTTTTCCTGGTTTATCCCATTGTTCTCCGGTATGTGACGGCGCTTTCTGAGCTACAGAACGGACAGCCACAGAGTGAACGGACATAACAACAGCGGGCTGAAGGCGGACCGTTTCTGTTTGGTTTGTTCACCTGTCTGCCGATATGTCTCGCAGGTAAAATATTGTTCCACCTCTTTGACAAGTCCCTATGTTTGGTCATTTCTGTGTGTTTCAGCGTTGTTTTGTATACGCCTTTGTGACTGTCAGCTGACAGGTCGCTTCTGGCTGATTTTAAATGGCACTTAGAATGAGAAGAGAGCTATCTTGACCGGGGCATTATTTAGCTTGGGTGTCCGCCCTAAAAGACTCGGAACTACCACATTAGCTTGGAAAAACAACCAAACACTCATTTACTTTGGCCTCTTATGGTAATAGTGCTTTAAAAAAAGCCATTCTTGGAACTTTTGATGGAAGAAAGGCATCTCTGATAAAACCGTGAACAAAAGACATGTTTGAAATGTAAAAGCAGCCACTGGTATTCACAGCATCTTTTGATCCCCAGTGACCTGTACACAAACTGGAATAGTGCCTCCACCCATGGGTGTTTCATGTTTAATCCCCTTTATGCCTAAGCAATAGGATAAAGTGTACCTGTCTCAACAAAATATACAGCCATGGCCAAATATATTGGCACCACTGCATTTCTGTCAGATAATGCACCACATCTCCCAGAAATTGTTGCATTCACAAAGTCTTTGGTATTCTCATGCTTATTATTATTATTTTTTTTTTTTTTTGCATTGAAGCAACACAAAAAAGCAGAAGGAACAAAAGCCAAATCTGATCCATTCCACACAGAACTGCAAAAATAGACTGGACAAAATTTTCGACACCCTTGACTTAATATTTAGCAGCACACCTTTTGGACAAAATAAATGAAATCAATTACTTCCTGTAACCACCAGTGAGTTTCTCACACCTCCCTGCTGGAATTTTGGACCACTCTTTTTTTTTTTTTTTG